GCCCCTCTGACTGGCTCGGCCCGAAGTTCCTCGGCCTCACGCCTCCTTCCCGCCGCTCATTGGCCTACAGCCGGGAGGGCTTCTCCCTTTAGGAATGGTGCAGCCTTTCCAGGGCGGGTGAGGGGGTCATTGCCTGGAGCGCCCCTCTCTGCTTCACCACAAGCCTTACGGAACCCTGGTCCCACCCATCTCTGGTCCCCAAGCGCCCCAGCCACGCTAGGTCTTGCCCCTCCACACAAAACCCACCTCTGCTTTTCCGCGGGCCCTGGGAAGCCCCTGGAGCCGTCTGCCCAGCCCAGCGCCGGCCAGGTTGCAAACCCAACTCATGAACCAGTCACCTTCCAGGGCTTCAGGGCATTGAGCTCCCCGGGACCACTGCGGCTGGTGCAGCCAGCCTGGCCTGGGGGAAGGCTCTGCCTCCAAAGGTGGACAGCCCGCGGGGCTGGCAAGATTGGAGCCACTCAAAATCAGGGAACGCAGCCGACCCCAATCCCGGCCTGTGCAAAGCATCTAGCTGTCTGCCAGAGAGCATGGATGAAACAAAGAAGAAAGCGAAAGGGAAGGGGGGGAAATTCTGGGGCTTCAAGCCTGTTGAACCCATTTAGAAAGTCGTTTTTATCCAAAAAATTCCGTGAGCCTGAGCTACCGGTTATTGATGGAGTTGAAGTTTGTCTCAAAGGTCTCTTAGATCCAAGTCCCCACCGCTCCTGCTTAGTTTTCACCTTTTGAAATGCACATCTTTGAGAATCAGACACCTATAAGAGGAATGCATTTCATCGCTGGCTATCTGCTCCTAAGCAGGTATCGCTTTGGTTTTAAGCCCCCCACCCCCCACCCCCAAAAAAAAACTGTGCTAAGGAAGTCAGCGGTGCAATTGTTATTAGAAGCCCTTGAGTCCATTCAACTCATAACGACCCTATGGGACAGAGTAGAAATGCCATCTTTCCAGAAGCAGGTGTCCCAAGAAGCTACTGAGTGGGCTCAAACCACCACCCTTTCCACTAGCAGCTGGTTTCTTACCCTTTGGTGGCACAGTTCGTATTTCCTCGGCTGCTAACCAATTGGTTGGCACGTGGAACCCACCAGCCCTTCTGGGAGCAGTCTGCCCTGCAAATCCTATGGGACAGTTCTCCTCTGCCCTACAGAGTCCCTTACAAGTGGGAATTGATTCAAAGACAAAGGGGGTTCTGACAGACCCCAAAGTATGGGGGTTCCAACTGCAAAGGCCTGGTGACCTGCTTCTGTTAAGATTACAGCCGAGAACAATCTATGGAGCCATTCTACTTGGTAACACACTGGATCTCCAGACTCAACTCAGCAGCCATGGGGTTGTGTTGTTTTTGGAGTCTGGTCCTGTGTGTCAGACACAATGGGATACAAACCAACAGTGGGGATACAGAAATTAATTAACACATGGTCCCCGGCCTCAAAGATCTACAAGGCCTTTAGGAGAAGGCAACAAAGGACAATGCCAACACTGAATAGGGCTAAATAATGAAGGGAAGTGTAGAGTTCTATGGGGTGAGATAGTGAACCAGAGAAGACTTCCCAGAGGTGATGAGACTCTAAACCAGTGGCTCTCAACCTTCCTCATGCTTTGACCCTTTCATAAAGTTCGTGTTTTGGTGACTCCCCAACCATAAAATTATTTTCATTGCTACTTCATCACTGTCATTTTGCTACTGTGACGAATCAGGCGACCCCTGTGTTAGGGTCGTTCAACCCCCAAAGGGGTCGCGGCCCACAGGTTGAGAACTGCTGCCCTAGACTTAGATTTCAAAGACTGGGAGGCACTGAGACAACCAAAGAAGATGGAAGGAAGGGTGCCCCAGCAAAGGAAGCAGCATGCACCCACCACTAACAGAGAGCCTGGTGTAGTCCCCTGGGAGTATAGGTAGTCCAAGCACTGTTAAGAGGTTGGGCAGTGAGAAGACCAGAGCGGAAGAGCCAGATGATAGCGGCTTCGAGCTATGCTCAGGAGCCTGGGGAGCCTTCAGGGAATTTTAAACAGAAGGGTGACTTGCTTACATTTGCCTTGTTGAATGATCACTCCAGTCAAGTTGTGGAGCATGGCTTCCAGTAGGGCCAAGACTCCAGCAGGAGAACAGCTGAGTTGCAGTGCGAATAATCTAGACAAGAAATGATAAAAGACCTGTGGCAGAGGAAGATTTGGAGGGGCAAGGGGATGGATGGGAAACTACCACCAGAGTTATTTAAGAGATAGAACGAAGGAGGTAGAGTGACCTAGTGGGTCTGGGGGATGGAAAACAAGGAGTCACGGACAGAAGCTTCATCATTTCTTTCTCGTTTTTTTTTTTCAAGAAACATTTGCCAACTGTGTATCTGGCATTCTTCTCTTTCTTCATAATGTTGCCTGGGGCTGGGCCTGCACCGGCATTGAACATTTGACAAATGACATATCCACTTTGAAAGAAACACCAATTAAGAGTCATAATTTGGCTGGTGAGTTTGATATGTTCCACCTGTGGAGCCCTGTGACCAAAGGGCAGCTTGGAAGGCAAGCATTGATTGAATGTCATGACCTCGCAGAGGAAGACATGACCTCCCATAAGTTCATGATCTTCCAGAGCTCATGCAACTAACTACAAAGGCAACAGCTGTTTTCAACTACTGCGTATGGAGTACCTTGAAGAGAGGGACTGGGACTTCTTTTTAATACAGCCTTTTATACCTAGTACACTTCGTATGTGTTGGGGCAGTGCTTCCTGCGACACTGATGGGAGGTGGGCCAACGAGGTTTCTGTTTGCTCATTCATTTTTCATAAACATTGATTGGAATATGTACTACAGGAAGAAAAAAAGGTGTAACAAGTGCATCCAACCCAAGATTTCATGAAGACAAAATTGAGTAGGTAGTGCTGAGATATATTTCTTTCCATAAAAATGTGAGGTGGTTCAAAGAAAAATGTATTAAATAGCATGGGGAGTTTAAGGTATTAACAAAACTCATGAGGTGAGTTTTAGTGTTGAGTCATGGGCAAACCAGCCCTGAGGTTTTAGGAAATATTTCTTTGGCCTTAAAGCTTCTGAGCAGCTACTTCAGGGCTTGAAGCCAACCTAAGGTAGGAGTTAATAAAACTTACTAGGCTTAAGAAGTGGTTCCATGTTTAAAGTGCCTCTCAAAGCCTTCCAGCCCCCAAGTCATGACCTGAATGGTGTCACTTCAGGCACTGAACCAGACTGTTGGGTCAGGGAAGCTGGCAGAAACACTCCAGACAGCTGGCCACTCGGCCTTCCCAGAGTCCTGGGATCTTCGAGAGAAAAATCCAATTCCTTCACCAAAGTATGAAATCTGTTCCATTACATACACTCTCCTGTGCAGATGGGTGTCTGTGAAGGGAGCCTGGCTTTTCTGTTCCTCCTTTTTTTTTTAACATAAACAACTGTCTTGCTTTTCAAGGCTCCCTTCTTCGTGTTACAAGTCAGCCCAATGACTCATCCTTACTCTTTACCTACAAGAGACAATCAGCCTAGAAACACAAAAGGACATGCTGATTGAGCCAAAGTTCCCTTTGGACAATTCCTGATTCTGTGCCTTCAGACCCAGTTGGAAGCATTTAGATTACACAGTTGGGCCCTGTTTTCCACTTTGGGCCCTGAGAGGAAGACTACCTAACCCAGTGGGCCCAGAACTTTTCTTTACCTTTCGCTTCTAGATTCCAGTTTGAAAGAACTCAAGAATTCCCAGCTGGAGCTCACAGCTATGATCTTGCTGGAGCTGGGAGGAGAGTCTGGTTCCATGGCTCCAAAGGCAGCATAAATCAAGTTCTCTGGGAGCGGGTTAAGAAAGGGTGTTCAACAGCTGCCGCCATGGGAGGAGCTCTTACACAGCTGTGCACACGGCCACACAGGCACATACTGTTTGTCTTGGGCCCAGTTCCCTTTGCCCCCCAGGTGATGCTGTCCTCTCCTCATCCCCCGCTCAGGTACACAGCATCTCTCCCACCCCTAACCCCACACTCCAAACCTACTTTCAGAGAAGAAAAGTTCACATTCATCCCCTCCCCAGTGTCTCTGGTCCATAGGATATAAGGGGGCTGCCCACCCAGGGCTAGGAGTATTTTAACAGGGATCAAAGCTTTAAACCAAAGGAACAGAGCTCTAAAAACTGTGGAATTCCAGGCATCTGCCAGTGGGAAGGGAGTGTTTAAACTGAGGGGCAATGAGGCCTTTTTTGGTGCACCTGAAATCACATCATGTAGACAGTTGCTTATATGTTAGACGGGTGCTGCTCACAGCCAACACCTCTGCACTCCTTGGCATACAGCCACGTTGTCTCCCCTTCCCTTGCAGTGTATGACTCCTTTGTGGGGCAGAGGGGAGGGGAGGCGCCAGGCACACTGATCCCAATTCTCCCAAATGCATAAGCTATGATCAGAGAATGAATTATGGTCCTTTGGGAAAGAGTGTTCATTCATTCATCCCAGCCAGCAGGCCAGTTCAAGGTAAATGGTAACTTTGTAAATTGAAAGACTTCAAGCCATTTTGAAAATTGCATAATAATCCCAGGCAGAATCTGGCTCCATGTGGATGGAAAATTAATAGGCCAGGCTGAGATGCTTGCATTGTGAGTGGTGGATGGAGAGCCTCTC